TGTTTAAATATAATTCATACTGGAAAGGCCTCATCAAAAAACTCACAATTCTGGCAGGAAAAAGTTAACTTCCACATCCAGATGGAACAACTGATGCTCACCAGGAGCCTCTTTTGAATCCACAGACTTGAGCAATGAAGCCCCCCCAGACGATTTTTTAAAATTCACAGAGGCAACTTAAAAAATGGGAATGTTTCTCCATAGCAATTTGGGCAGGTCCTTGAAAGTGCTTCTGAAACTTTTGCAGAACATGAAAGAGTTCTGCATCATTAACATTTTTAAAAGGGGGAAAGAAGACTTCAGGGCGATGCCCGAGGTGGAGAACATCAGCACGTTCCAATAAGACTTGTTGCTGTGGTTGTTGGTGCAAGGACTGGATTGCTTAAAGCATTTTAGCAGGCCTTGGGAAGGTCTATATAATGGTTACCCACATTTCATGTACTGCAGATTGTGGGAACTACAGGTGTAATGCATCCAGGTTCTCTAGCATTCTGGGGCTCAGGATGGAGATCAGCCCTGAACCAGCTTTTCCTGGCCAGATTTTGGATGTCTCAGCAGGTGGGAGCCCTTCAACAAACTTGCCTGGGCTCTCTCTGAAGCTAAGCAGAGTCAGGCTTGGTTAGTATTTGGATGGGAGCCCTCCAGGAAACCATGGGATTGTAGGCTACATGATAAGATAAAACCAGCATCCTGAAAACTACTCATGTCTGTGAAGTCACAAGGAGTTGAAAAGTTGGAGAGATTGTCTTCTGAAGTGCCGAATATACCCGGGATGGGTGAAGCGGGATTGGCCCCTGGCACTCTGGCTCCTTCCATCCAGAAGCTCAAAAGGAACACAGTCGTGCTAGTCAGAAAGTTCTTGGTGACCTCCTGGATTCCTGGTCCCTGCGTCATGGCTCCTCCCCGAGCAGATCTGGCAGCTGGAGGCCCCTGGTCCCTCTTCGAAGGAGCCCCACACGGCAGCCTTGGGCCTGACGAGAGGCCGCCCAGGAGCCCGGCCATCTTCCTCCTCCATCCGCAGGGGCCCAGAGGCTCCCTCCCTTTTTGCCCATCGAGGGGCCACAACTGCACGCAGCACCGGCAGCCCCCGCATGGCCCAAAAGCGGCTCCGAGAGGCCGTTCTCCAGGAGGGACGCCCGGCAGCAGCCAGCGCTTTGCGCCGTATCAGAGAGGAATGCAAGGTTGAGAAACCCTGGCTTAGCTTTCTGTTTCTATTCTGTTTTCACTCGTTAGCTGCCCAGAGTCCTGTGCCTCAGATGGGTGGCCATACGGATTTAATAAATAAATCATATCACCTTGAAAACCTTTCATGGCTTGGAACCAGGGGGAATATACCTGGACTAGAAGAAATACTATAGTCACATTAATCATTTCAGGTACTGAACTATATTTTTAATGGGACTCCCCCTTTATGTTGGGGGCCTGGGGACAACACCCTTCCCCCCACTCCCCCACAAAAGGCCAGGGGCTGACATGGGCAGCTTTACAACCGAGGGGAATGAAGTGATACCAAATACTTTTCCCCAAATTGATGCCTTTCAGGTTTTGGGGGTTCCCACAACACAGTAAACCAGTGTTTCTGAACGTCTTTGAGAAGATGTATAGACTTCAACTCCTAGAAGGAAGGAAGGAAGGAAGGAAGGAAGGAAGGAAGGAAGGAAGGAAGGAAGGAAGGAAGGAAGGAAGGAAGGAAGGAAGGAAGGAAGGAAGGAAGGGTCAAACAAGCTGTCAGCCTGTGGCCAAATAAATAGCCCATATTATATGGTGATGGCTGGTCGCTGCCCAACACTGGGCCACCGATTATCCAAGGCTGCTTTAGTCCAGCCCGGCCTCATGCCTCGAACCCTGCCCAAACATCCGCCCATCTTCCCAGAAATGCAAGGCTAAAAGCTCTGAGTTCACATTCCTGCTGCTTTGTTTGAAAAACCAACATCTTGACCATGAATGAAGCCCAGCCCTGCAGGCGAGAGAATTGCATGCTGGCTGGGGAATTCTGGGAGCTGAAGTCCACTTGTCTTAAAGTTGTGAAGGCTGAAAAACATTGAGTTAAGCTACTGTTGTTGGGGTGGTTGTTTTTATGCAATGATGGTGCCAGAGGCCTGGTGCGCTGGCCAACTTTTGCACCCAGCATCTCTTCCTCCATTCAGGCAGAAGGAGAATGGAGGCCTTCCTGGCTCCCTGTTTCTGCCACCGCTCCCGATTCCGTGGCTCCTCCTGGGGAAGGCCCAGCTGCACTCATGAGAAGCATGACCAACAGTTGCGTGGATCCTAGCTTGTCCAGAAACATGCACAATCAGGAAAGAAAAGTCCAAGAATCGAAACCGATCTTCAGATTCCCCCACTTGCAGCTGCTCTCAGATTCATTTCCTCAAGTCCTTCTTGGGTCAGATGCTGATCTCAGCAACATCAACAGGCAAAACCAGCCAAGTCAGCCTTCTTGCGTGTGCTGAGAAGACGCCAGGCAGGAAACTGCAAGTGGAGGCGTGAGGAGGAGGGCGCACGGAGGCTCCTCCAGCAGGACCCCCAGAGATCAGTCCGTGGCTGTGGCTGTAGCCGAAATACACTCGGGGCCCTCTGGAGGCCCAGAGTGGGAACCCTTTTGTCTTGGCTTGCTTTCATTCCTGGCACTGCCTCCCTCTCCAAGGGTTTTCTGGAGCTTGGCACGAGGCCTGGGTTTGCCTGCTCCAGACCCAACTTCCTCTTCCCGCAAGTTCTCGTTTCTGCAAGTCTGACCTCAGGTGCTTTGCTCTAGGTTTCTCTTCATACCCAGACAGAAATGCCACACCCCCTGGAAAAATACAGACCAGCATTTGGACTTCCCCTTTCCCTTCCTTCCAAGTAGGCAAGATGATCCCACCAGAACTTTGGAAAGATGGTTCTAGCACACCTGAAGGCTACAAGGCTGGGGAAGGAAAGGTAGAGACCCTCTCAGGTCAAGCTGTATTCCTTGTAACTTCACAGATACCTTCAAGTCCGTTCTTGACACGTCACTGAAGTTATTCCCATTGTCTTCTTCCAGGAGTTTCTACCTCTACATCCAGTGTAGCCTCCAGCTCCTGGACATCCTGGTGGCTCCCTATCGAAGTCCTGAACTCCTAAAGTTGGTTTAATGTGATCCCTGCTGCAATATTCAGGGTACAGCTGTAGTTCTGTTCATCACTTTGGAAAAGCACACCATGTTGAATATTTATTTATCATGGTTGCATCTGTTCAGGAACAAAGATCCTTCCAAAGAACCAAGAGACTGGAACCCCCTCCTGAAGAAGGAAGGTGTTTAGAAATGTTCACTTTAGGAATACAAGAAAACTAAGGAAAGGTGCATAAATGCGTAAAGGGGATTGTGGAGAAAGAGGGAAAAGCCTACACGCATCCTCATCTCACCAGGCGGGTGTGGGGAAGCTTGAGGAAGCTTTGCCATATAAAATTGAAGGCAATGGCAAGCAGACCAGGAAAATGCCCAAGCTTGGGCGAGCATGGTGGGATTGTTTATCACCACAATTGCCCCTCATATTCGTGGGATTCTCCAGTTCCCTGGAGGAGACTCTTGGCAGCTATAGGTGACGATGGAAATAGACAGTGGTGGAGCTGGAGAATCATGGACATGCATTTGACGGACTTCTGCCCATTCAGCACTGAGCAGTGATAAGGAATGAGCACCATCTTCTGTTAATACAACATGGGGGGGGGCGGTTCTTCCCACCTTCTCCTAACTCTGACACAACTGGGTCCTATTTCCCTGATGGTCCTTCATCTTGTTCCTAGCCCAGGAGGGGGACAGGCTGGAGTTAGAACTGTCCACAGGGTGTGGTCCAAAAAGTCAAAATTGTGGTCTTGATGGTGCAGCCAAAGCTGTAACTGCTTTTTATGTGCCCGCCGTTACCTCAGAGGGGAGTCAGGGGCCTGGCAACGACTTCAGAGAGAGGCAATCATGCCAGTCTAGTTTTCTTCCAGTTCAGAGATGGGCAGAGAATTGGGAAAAGCCATTAGAAGACATGGACATTGGCATGTTTTGTTCTGCTGCAGTCCATATCATCCTCTGCCACTCCCGGGGTGGTCCTGCAGGCACCAGAGGGCCACTGGGTCCTGGATCTCTGCCCACTGGTACCCACCCACTTTCTGGATGAGAGCAGCAGGCCTCTCCCGTCCGATGGCTGATGGACTCTGCTCAGGTCGTGGGCCTCCCAGCCAGCAGGCCACCCTGGGAGCCAGGATGCTGGATTCCATGGCTGCTGGTCTGGTGCAGCTCAGCCACCCTTATCTTCCCTTATCACTCTGGTCACAGGCATCAAGAGGATTAGATTGGATTCAAAGCCAAGAAGCTTCATAGTTATACGTGGCAGCACCCAGTCCCAAATCTGAAGGGTCGCCTATCTTTCTGTGCTGTTGTGTCATCCCCAAAGCTCTGCTTTCACTCCCCGCTTCCACTACCCCAATCTTAAACAGCAGCCATTCCTTCTGCCTTTCCTTGCAGGACTTGTCTTGAGAAGCCATTGCTCGTCTTTGAGCTCTTCCAGTTGCCTGCCCCCGTCAATCATGTTGAACTGGAGAGACCAGAGCAGAACCACCCCTTCCTCCTCCCCCAGGAACTGATGTCCACAGATGAGTATGTGAAGAAGCCGCAGTTGGGATGAGAACAGCTGACAACCCAAACAGGACTTCCTGAAACCAAGGACAATAAAGCTGCTCCAAAGAGGAAGCCACGCAGACCTCAGAACCAAATCAGCGTCCCACCTGGAATCCTCGAGCATCTTCTGTTGGTAGCTCTGGAGATCCACAGGACTCCAACAGCAGGAGGAGCTGCTGTCCTTGAGAAGGTAAGGTACAAGAACTTGTAGTCCACGTTCTTCTTGTGGTTGCCTATGCTATGAGTCACTGTGAAAGGAAGAGGGTGCTAATGCTAGTAAATAGTAACTTGCCTCTAAATTACTTTTCTTCCATTATCCAAAGCTAGGTTCAAACCTGGGTTGCTCACTGCTCCTTTTAGAAAATGGGAAGAAAATAGGTTTGAGGAAACCAGCCACAACACTTGTTTAACCATTGATGAGTCAGCTTAAAGAGCAAAAGGTAGTTAAAAACACCAGCGACTGGTGGTCATTAAAGGCAGAGGGTAGCAGCAAGTTTCAGATCCTGGGCATAATCTCCCAGAAGGTCTTTTCATAACTTCCAGCTAAGCAGGTTGCTGTCCCAGATATTAAGATCTGAGCAGGCACATCTGGAACCAACACAATCTTTCCAGCTGCTTGATGCTGAGACATAGATGGATTTATACTGTAGGTCCTAAATCGGACCTCAGAACGGAAGCCCGTTTCTGTCTGCTGCAATGTGATACTGATTAGCTTGTACTGTGTATGTACGTTACTCTGTGGCTTCCTCTGCGCAACTCACATCCACCACAGCCACTGCTCCTAGAAACACACATCCTGTGGACCTGCTTGGGTGCAGGAGAAAAGTCACTGTGGGCTTTCCTCAACCCCAATCGATGGCGCTAGCCCTAGGAGAGACTGTGCTGAAGCTCCCCCACTTGTTTCGAGTGTTTTAATTTTCTGGGTAGAGAGAAAGGGTGGAGGGAACAAATGAAGCAAGGGTTTGACACAGCCATTTCCCCCAAAAATAGAAGGAGTCTAGTAGTATCTTCTCCTACTAGCAAATGTTATTAAAAGGCATAAGCTTTTGTGAGCTGCAGTGAAGCGGTTGTCAGATGCAATGAAGCAGTTAGACCAGGGTTTCTCAACCTTGGCAATGATAAGATGTATGGACTTCAACTCCCAGAATGTGGGGGATTCTGGGAGTTGAAGTCCACATATCTCAAAGTAGCCAAGGTTGAGAAACACTGGGTTGGACTGATCTAGGATTTACATTATATTTTGTTGTTTTATATATTGTTCACCCTCTTGCCCTTTTGGAACAAGGGTTTCTAATGGTTTTGCAAAAATCAGGAGTTTGGTAGCACCTTTTTTGACTAGCACATTTTATGAATAGACATCAGCTTTTGTGAGCTGCAGCTTATCATGAAAGCTGATGCCTTCTAATAAAATTTGCTGGTTCAAAATTGTGCTATCAGACTCCTCCTGATTTTTGGCTACCATAGACTAAACACAGCTGTCCTCCTTCAATGTCAGCCGTTTCCAGAGACGGTGGGAGCAACCGCAAAAGCTACACACATTTTTCATCTGATTGTGATCCTGTGCTGCACATTCAGACTTGATCTGTGGTTTCTGCTTACATCCGAAGTCCCCGGTCAGACTGGAAGAGTGCTTTTCACCTTGAATTAACAATATGGGAAGACCACCCTTTTACATGTCGTCATTCTTCTCCCGTCTTCTTCCCACACATTTATGGAGCAGCATTTCAGCTCGCTTCAATCTCCTATGGGAGGGGCGCGTAACAATGATTTCAGATCAAGAGTTGCTCTTGGCTTGTAGGCAACATCCTGGAGGCAGTATTCCAAAAGTGGATCAATTTCACTTTAATTGCATTCAATGCTGTTATTAAATGGCATTTAATACTCTTGAGGTTTTGCATGAAGCTTTGTAGAAGTCTTTGGAAGGGAGGGGAGACACCCCAGTCCTTGGGGGAAGGTGTGGGAATTCCTGTGATGAAATGCTTGACAGTCATTGGGAACACAGAGGCGGCAGTAAGGCAGTTAAGGGAGAAAGCAGAGCCATTCCAGAAGAGAGCTTTGAAGAGAATACCCATAGCTCAGGGTTGAACTGTGGAGTCCTTGGGGTTCTCTGAGCTTGGTTATTTTCTTGCAGACGTTTCATTACCCATGTAGGTCACATCTTCAAACTCAGAGAACCCCAAGGACTCCAGAGAGCTTTGAGTCCAGGGGCAGGAGGGAGTGTGAGAAAGAGACTCAGAGAAACTCAGCCTTAGTTACTCTAGGTATAAGCAGAGCTGGAGAATTGTTTTGGCAAGCTTCCAAGATTCTGATGCGTTACCCTAAGTGCAATAAAGATTTTTCCAGAGATCTGAGTGGTTCTGCTTTCCCAAGCTTGCCAGTCTCACAAGCCCTGGAAAGGAAGCTGTGTCGCCTTTCCATAAGGGACATAACCCTTAACAAGAGCAATCATGCCAGTCGAAGCCTGAGGAAGTCAGCTTCAGGCAGGAGTCGAGGAACTGATCCATCTCCTCGACTTCCCACTGGGCCTATGTGAGACAAGGCCTTTGCCCCACGGAGGCAGCACAATTCACCTCTCTTTGGGAGATTTTGGGTTGCCTCTGGGGCCTCCTCTTCTGCTTATGGAAGGGCTGGAAGAGACTTGGTGTGCATGTACAGCACATGCACAAAGGCTCTTCTGGTCCTGGAAGAACAGCACAACCTCACTTTCCATGTCCCCTCTATTGCAAACTTTTGCATGTGTGGGAGAACAGCATCTACATGGAAAAAATGATGTTCAGCCTCCTGGCTTTGGGAAACCAGAAGGGAAGGCACCTGGAGCATTCCTGACTGGATGGCACTCCCAATCTCCAGATTTCTGGAGTTCAGAGAACTTCTAATGAAAGCTGAGAACAATGTTTAGAGCAGGGATTCTCAACCTTGACAACTTTAGGTTGTGTGGACTTTAACTCCCAGAATGCCCCAACCCACATGCTTTAAGATGTATGAACTTCAACTTCCAGAGTTCCCCAGCCAGCATTGTTGGCTGGGAAATTCTGGGAGATGAAGTCCACCCATCTTAAAGTTGCCAAGATTGAGAAACACTGCTTTCGAGTAAGCAGGTGTGTCTTCAGGGTATGGTCAAAAAGTCAAGATCGTACCATTGTGGCCATCAGCTTGACTTTTTTGACCACACCCTGCATACATTTCTAAAAGTAAGCATGGATAGAAGTAGGCCATGGGCTAATGGAGCCTCTAGAAAAGACTCCTTCCTGGCTTCGCCTACACCCCACAGATTTCCCACGAAGGTGGAAAGAGGTAAGCACAATCTCCAGTCCGCAGAAGATCAAGATAAGCTGTTGCTCCTTCTTCCTACCCTGAGAAAGGCAGTCCACCAAAGCGCCAGTAGAAGTGTTTCAAGCATTATGTCCAGCTCCAGTCCTTGAACACTGGGGTGGGTCCAAAAAGTCAAGATGGGGGCAGTGACTTCAGTTGCACAGGCACGGCTGCCCTCTCGACTGGACCCGCCCGTGTTACACCTCTGCTGGAAACGTTCTGCAGACTGGAAGATGAATGATCTCCTGAACGTGCCTGGTCCTTGCTCACATGCAGACACAAGGAAGGACTGCTTCAGGAAATCCCAGATGAATCCTTTGTAGAGAGGGGGTGTAAACAGGTAACCCAAAAGATTACTCAGATTGGTACTGGCCCTGTTATTTATTTTCTATAGATATGGCATCAGCATTTCATTGTATCAAACAGAGATTATGGACTAATCCAGGGATTAACAGCTAAAGCCAAAATTTCGTGTTCACCTGTAACTTTTGGAATCAATTGCGGATATTCTTTTCAGCTCCCTAAATATCTGAGTAGTTTATATTTAAGTCAATACAGAATAGCCTTTTCAGAAGCTACATTAAAATTGTTGCCATCAAATAGGCTATACGGTAGATTTCAAAAAATCCCCATCTCTCAAAGATTTTGCCCCTGTGATGGTATTGATCTTGAAATGGTGGATCATATTTTATCATACTGTGAATTTGCAAGAGCCTTCGACAGGAAGTTATCCGGCCTATTTTAAAATCAGAACCGGGGAGAGATATTAATTTAGACCTCCAGCCAAAACATCTGTTGTCCCCGCTATCGGTTTGGCCCAGCTGCTGCCACTGCCTTCCCCTCCCTTGTGATCTCCCCACCTTTGTTGACCTTCCTGCTGCAAAGAGCCTTCTTCCCCCGATGGTCAGCTCCAGAGCCACATGGCTATTTCTGAGCTGAGCCTGTGCATAGCAGCCTGCAACATTTCAGCGAGCGGTCAGAGGGGGTTGCTCTGCAGAATCTCTGCTCTTCGTCAAGGAAAGTTTCTGTGTGAAGAAACAGCGAAGGGAACATGGTCATCGTCCATACACTCAACAGTACTCCTATTAGCCTTGCATCTAACCATGTCTGGGTTTTGTTTTCCCCACTAGGTATTCAGTGGACAGATTCACCCCTGGAAGCTGCGATGGGCCGCCTCCTCCTCCTTGTGAGATTTGCCATTTATATCTTCCCAGGTACCTTGGCTGAATTTCTAAACCTCCGATGGGAAGTCCTTATCAGAAGCTCAGAATACAGTGGTGTTCTCCTATCACAGTCTTCCCCAGGCTGACGGCCTTCAGATATGCTGGACTTCAGCTCTGACCATGCTGGCTGGGAAATACGGGCATGGGCGTCCAACACATCTGCAAAGCCCCAGGTTGAAGAAGGCTGTTCTGCATGAACATTGCCATTCATCTCGGAAACTTCAGTAGACCCTGTTTGCCCATACAGATTGTTGTTCAGTACTGTTCCTGACTCTCTCAGGCAGAAATAATTAGCCCATTTTGTAGAATTGTACAATCTATTGAAGTGCTGTTTATGCCTTTCATAGGTTCCTGAAAATAGACATCAAGGATGTTCTTCTGGAGGAGAAAGGCAATACGGTTGTTTAGCTGACAGCACAAACAGAATCCATGGACATCCAGGGGTTATGACATCATTACACAAAGGAGACAAATTCTTTAATCCACAATTGACATTAGTAACATTGTTTATGAAGTCAGTGATGTGATTACATGCAAGACGTCACTGGTGCTTCTACCAAATGCCTCTGGTCGAGTCTCTGTGTCCTTTATGCTTCAGAACGGAGAGTGAGCAGTTCTCTGTCTTATGCCCATAAGGCAGCTAGCTGAGCTGATGGGAGCTGTAGTCTAAAACTTCTGCAGAAAGGCTTCAGCTGAGGATCCATGTGCACTGGGTGCCTGTGGCTGGATTCAGGTTAAGAGAATTGCACGCGGTCCCGTTGAAATCAATAGGTCAAGTTTAGCCAAGGTCCAGCCCTCAAAGTCCATTCACACAAGTTCCTTAAACGGCTAATTGAATTAACCCTTTCTCTAGTTACACGATTTCTTGAACCATAATCGTACCAGAGAAATGAAGAGAGAGGTGGCACCCTAAGCCCGGGCCCAAAAGATGAGCCAAGGTTAAAGTTAACCAGGCTACTCACCTTGGGCCAACGCAGCTCCCTGGTTTTTATGCATGCTGCGTGAACCCAGCAGCGAGTCAGACCGGTGGCCAACCCACCCCAACTTTTGCGTTCTCCCCGTTTTCTGTCCTGCAGTTCTTGCTTCCTGGGACGTCACTTACCCCCCCAGTCTGAAGGCCATCAAGGATTCCTGTGTCCTGGTCCCGTGCACTTTCACCTACCCCAGCACGATCTCGGTCTCAGGCAAGATCACTGCCATCTGGTTCAAAGAACAGAATGACCAGCAAATCACGGCTTTCCACTCGAAGTCTCCCGAGGCGGTTGATGCTCGCTTTCGCAGCCGCACCGAACTCCTGGGGGATCCTCACGCACGCAATTGCACCCTGCTCATGCGCCACTTGACGAGAGAAGACAGCGGCAAGTACAGCTTCCGGTTTGAAATTGACAAAGTGAATAGCTGGACGCAGAAGAAGGAACTTCAGTTGACCGTCACAGGTAAGTAGCCAGCTTCTTCAACCCCGAAAGGAAGCGCTGGCTGCTTCCGTCCAATGTCCAAGCAGCACTGCAGCATTGCGCTGCACGGCCCATCCCTTCTGGGGAGGTGGAGGGGGTCATAATGCCCGAGGAGAAGGCACGGGGCTTAGGTGCCGAGGCCACCACGTGGCTTGCCTCTGCCAGCCCTTTGTCCACTTGTGGGTGCTGCTGAGAAGAGCAGCCAGGCCAGATTGTGAACTTGGACATCCTTTGAGTTTTCAACCAAGCGAGCACTGTATGTCCCTGGACTGGATGGAAAGCTCTCCTGAGCCACCGAGCCAAGTCATAACCAGTTTGGGTGCAGTGGAAAGTTTGGGCAGGTCTAGCATCAGTTGTTGGCAGGTTGGAAAAGCTGCAAGATACCCAGAGTCCCCATTCCCATAACATGCTTCACCCAGTCATCTGCTAACCCAGTCGGAGCTCCTTATTGGTAGTTTGGACAGCAAACAGTCACCAGTAACTGGATCAAAAATCACCACGTGGTTTCCACGCACTTATATTCAGGAAATGTCTACTGTCCCATGAGCCATTGCAGCAGGAGAGTATTGGCAAGGCTTCATGTCATCATTGGCTTCTTCCCATTGGCCAATTAGGCACCAGGAGGTGTGGCTTAGTCATGGTGGCCAATCAGAATAAGAGGCCGGCTTTTTCCGCTGCTCTTTCTCTCCAGCTGTTCTCTCGAGGGTTAGATCAGGGAAATGGGTTTACTGAAGAGGACTGGAGACCTTATGGCACAACTCTGTGAAGCAACCTAGATTTGCTTCAGGGAAGCTGCTTGGGCCCCCAAAGCAACTTGATTTTCTTTGCTGAAGTGAAGCCCCCTCCTGAATCTCCAGGTCATCTGGAGCACTGACTGGCTCGCGGTGCTCCCTGCATTTTGAGGTTGGCAGAAGTAACCTTGGTTGCAGATTTGGGGGTGTGGAAATGCTGGTAAGGTAGAGGGGCCTTATATGCAGGGAGGGAGAAGAAAAATACTCCTTGCTATAGTGTGTAACTAAACAATGCAACTGACTGCTATCAACAATTTAGTTTTCCAAAGGGACTGGATTAATTCATGGAGGATTGGGTCATGGTTGCCTGCCAGTCAACAGGGATGCTGGTTTACCACTTCCTAAATCACGGACGGTATAATAGCTTAGATACCCACCATGGAGAGCTACCGGATAGAATGTGCTTTTCTGTCCATATTCATGAGTTTCCCAGATGCATCCTGTTGGGCTTTTCCAGCCTCAGGGATCTTCTTCAGTTTTTCATTCGTCTTTCCATTTTTTTGAAAAGGTTCTACCAACTTGATTCTGGGTGAGTTGGCATCTGTTGCAAGCGTAACACCAAGTCTCTGCTTTATCCACAATGTCTTTATTCCTACCAGGGATAGTGGGAACTGAAGTATCATGGACTCCCCTCCCCATTCCATTTCAGAATGGTGGTTCCCAGGGGAAGGAGACCAGGAGACCAGCTTGGGCTGTGGCCAGTTTGCCTGGCCGGGTACCACCAAAGTGTGTTGGACTACAGCATGGCCAGTGGAGATAAGGGGAGCCCCATGCCCAGATTTCTCCAGGGCATGTTCCAAGCCCACCCCTTTGCCCTGTTTGTTTCCTTAGATAACCCTGATACTCCCACCATTGCTGCCCCAAATGATCTGCGGGAGGAAGTGCTGGCAACTTTTGAGTGTTCCAGTCCGTATGTCTGTCCCTACGACCACAGCTCCCTGAAATGGTTTGGCTACAACCCCGAGAAGTCACGTGTGTCTGGGACGGTCCAGCTTGGCACCACTGCAGCCATCCGGAAGCAAATTCTCCAAACTTCACTGACCTGGGAGGACCACCAGCACAAGCTGGGCTGTGAAGCATCTGTTGGGACGCAGAAGGCAAAAGGGGAAATTACTCTCCAGGTGGCACGTGAGTAGCGGGATGGAGCAGGGAGTCATTTGCAGGGACTACCTCAACATCACCCAAGCAGCGTCATAATTGGGATTCAACCCAATAAAAGATATTCTACCAAACTTTGAAACCCATTATGCTGAAGTAGACTGAACTACCAGCTAAAATGTAGCCCCTTTCCCAGTTGTGCTTCCTCACCCTCGCTAAATGTGCTGGATTTCAACTCCCCATAATCCCTAATCAGAACAGCTAATAATGGTAGGAGTTGATGTCCAACACATCTAGAGGTGACTGGGTTGAAGAACACTTAGCTGCTCAACCAGCAGTAGATAAATTTCTACCAAATTAATCCAACCATAACCCTGCAGATTCTGGAACACAATTAGCACTCTTTCATGAGATGGGAATAGCCTCCATTGGCATTGCTCCCAAAAAGATACTTTCCCTCCTGGAGGTTGCCATGTCTGCAGAACGAAAGACCAGCTTCAACCGTTCTCATATTCTGCCTGGGTTTTTTTTTTTTTTTTGCTTTCTTTTGTTCCCTCCTAGATGCCCCCAAAGGCATCAAGGTGACCCTAAACCCACCCACCAAAAACATCCAAGTGGGCGATGCAGTGTCTCTGACGTGCAGGGTTAGCAGCAGCTATCCAGAAGTCACGGCCTACAGGTGGTTCAAGGATGGCACTGCCTGTGGGACTCAGCAGGTTAAAAACATCCAGCATGTTTCCCGTGAGGATTATGGCCTCTACCACTGTGAGGCAGAAAACTCGCTTGGCACAGGGGTGGCCGAAGATGTCACCCTCTTCATTTTCTGTGAGTACCAAAGACTGCATCTCACTAGGCTTCCTGAGATTCGGGTGGACCAAGTAGGGAGTCCATGCTCACTTTCCCTGCTGCTGCTTATGCTTCCTCCACAAGCACCAGATGTTCAGACAGAGGCAGGACAGCCGTCTTCTGTGCTTGCGGTAATAGAGGATTCCTGTAATGGGCAGGGGGTTGGGCTAGATGATCTCTGAGATCCCTTCCCACCCTCCCATTCTATGATTCTCAATGTGAAAAGTCCATGGAAGAGAGGAGTCCATTAAAGAGTCCAAAAAGTTTGGATTTAATTAGAATTATTTCAGGCAGTTTTCCCCAAATGGACTCCTTCCAGCTGTGCTGGGACTGCTGTTCTGGAAAGTCCCAGCCAGGACTTTGGCTGGGGACCCTGGGCATTGTAGTCTCAGCGCACCTGGAGGGCATCAGGTTTCAATCAACCATCAATTAATAACCTATAAAGTATTTAGCACAGGGTGTTTAGTAGTTGTGCCTGATTACAGAGCCTCCAAAACTGTAGCCTGCATTAAATGGCCATGTTGTTTTTATTCATTTATGAGGCTCCGTCTACCCCTTGTAAACTCGGCTTGATCGTAAAATGTGTCGTTTCCACGTGTTTTAAATAAATAGCCGTATGGGGTTTTCTTAGCAATTTTCATTTCTCTTTATTTCTTGAGATTGGGCTGGGAGCCTTCTGCACTTTGTGATGGAGTAATAGACACTGTGTTCGTTGAGTCACCACCAGGACAAAGTGGGCTTGAGAGGCCGGGCTGCCAATGGAAGGAAGTGAACCGGGTGGGATGCAACATCCGTTCCCGAAAACTCAGTTTAATCTGCCCAAATGACTCGTCTAGAGCAGCCCCTCGGATGAATTCGATCAGTGTTTCTCAACCTTGGCCACCTGAAGACGGGTGGACGGCTGGGGAATTCTGGGAGTTGAAGTCCACCCGTCTTCAGGTGGCCAAGGTTGAGAAACACTGAATTAGATCCATTGTTCCTGCCATGTCCCAGTGGGCTGAGGGATCATGGGAGTTGTAATCCCAAATTTCTGGAGGGCTGGGAAAGGCTGTTGCAGATTGTGGGAAATGATGGTGAGCAGTTTTGGCTTTCCCTCAGGTGGGCATTTCATGAAGGAAGAAAGGTGGCTGGCATGGTCAGTGTCAGTGTTACTGGAAGGGTGACCAGGTGGATTCAGATATTTCCTCCCCCCATCTTTTTCCACTAACATCCCAGCTGCTGTGCTGTCCGTCAGTCCTTCCTCCGATGTAAGAGAAGGTGAGAAGGTCACCTTGACTTGTGATGTTCCTGGAGAAGACCAGCAGGAGATCCACTACAGCTGGTTCAAGAACAACATCTGGTTCAAGGAAGGCACAGCCCGGATCCTGACCTTTCAGGAGGTGACCGTGGGGGACACTGGGTATTACTCGTGCAAAATTCAGAATGACAAAGGAAGCGGATCGTCCCTAGCTGTCAGCTTAACGGTTTTCTGTAAGTTTTGGGAGATTCCCTTTTCATGTGTTTGATTCAGCGCAAAGATGGCCAGCAAAAATCGCGCCTTCAAAGTTTGTTATTTTTAGAAGAGACCGTCTCCATCTGTATGAGAGAAAATGGGGGTCTCCTAATTTAATGGTGCCTCTTGCTAGCTTAATGAGGACTTGTCTGAATAATGACGCCCTCTGCTCATCAATAGTACGTGGCAGACCTAATTAAACTGGGTGTAGAGGAATCTGCCATTCAAAGAATAATCATTGCGTAGATTGCACAGTGCAGTTTTGCTGCAACTACAGAAGGCAAAAAGGCAGGATAAATTGGAGTGGAAATCTTCTGGCATCTGTTTATTCTCCGTCCCCACTGAATGCTTCAGGATCTCAGCTTATTTTGATGCTCCAGCCCAGTGTTTCTCAACCTTGGCCACTTTAAGACGGGTGGACTTCAACTCCCAGAATTCCCCAGCCAGCAACTGGCTGGGGAATTCTGGGAGTTGAAGTCTACCCGACTTAAAGTGGCCAAGGTTGAGAAACACTGGTCTAAGACATTGGGGACAGCCGCTCTGTCTTACCCCCTTGGGCAGTTCAGTCGAAGGAAGGCTGTCTATCAAATATTTCAGGAGCCATTAAAACGATGTCGTTGGGCGCCAGAATTATATGTCTGATGAATGGCTGCCTGTATTAAATTACGTTTACCAGAGAGAGTTATAAGAGCAAACGAGACTGAGGTTCTATTAAATTTGCAGCGAAGTGTAAAATAATGGCAGGCTGAATCTAAGTGGTTTATCAGCACAGACCCGTGTTTCTCAACCTTGGCCACTTTAAGGCGGGTGGACTTCAACTTCCAGAATTCCCCAGCCAGCAAGGCT